CTACCCTCCAAGCCCAATGCCTGAAATTCCTTATTTCCCACATAGTCTTCTCCTGCCCATCCTGTGTTTCTAAGTAGCCAAGCAGCTTCTTTCTTGCTTCCATTTTCCTGATGGTCAGGTTACTTAAAAGCTTAAAAATGGTAGAATTCTCTAGGGAATTATGTAGGGAATGACTCCAAAGGACCAAATGGGAAGAATCTAGGCCATGAATTGAGTGGCAGATGCAGGGAAGAAAAGACTTCTAAGAACACAGGACACAGGAAAACCTTTTTATTCCTCACATTCTGCTGCACCCTAAATGCGCAGGATCTGTAATCCTTATAACTTCTCGTTTTCTTTTGTTTGTGTTCGGGCAGAGTGAGTATGATCAATTTATTTATGCATGTTCAGCACTGTTTATACAGCTATGAACAAAGAGCCTGTCTTGGTGGATCCCATAGCTGGGGCAGGAAATAACAATGAATAAATGCAGCAACAAGTGATAAATGCTATGAAGAAAAGTAAATAGAGGAGCTGTGTCTCAGTGATAGAGTGCACGCTTCCCATGTGTGAGGTTCAATTCCAAGAACACAACAAGCTGAGAAAGGGACAGAAAATGATAAAAGGTGGTGGGAGAGCTACCAATTATTAAGGTGGTTGGAAAAGATCTGAGATTAGATCCTTTAACTAAAACCTCGATGAGTTAGGGAATAAGATGCAAGCAAATCTGAAGGAGTATTCTAGCAGAATAAAACAGTTCAGGGTGGAAGCATGCTTATCCACACTGGAAGAAATCAGTGTGGAAGGGAATGACATTGGATGTGGTTTAAGAACAGCCAATCTTTATACTCTGAGTCACTACTTTGAAGATAATTTTTTAGGTTATTACATTATTTTGTCATGAAATTGTTTTTTTCATAAAATGAAAAAGCATTTAGAGCAGTATATGGAACATACTAAGTTCTACATAAATGCTCAATAAAGAAATCACTGGTTATTGACCTTTTACTCAAGGAAAAATAACAACCATGGACTAATGAGAGCTTTGGATTTTACTCTAATGTTATGGGAAGTCATTTGAAGATTTTGAGCAGAAGAGTGAAACAATCAGATTTATATTACAACAGAATCCATCTTGCTACTAAATGAAGAATACACTCTACAGGAGCAGGGGCTAATGCAAAAGACCAAACAGAGTACAGCGGTAGTCTAAGAAGTGTTTGGATTCAGGAAATGCTTTAAAGAGAATTGGTAAGACTTGCTAATGGGTTATGAAGTGTTTAGTTTGAGCCAAAAGTTTCTGAGTTTTGGCCAGGGCAGCTAATTGAATGAAAGTGCATTTACAGAGCTGAGGACACTGAGATGGGATTAGATTTAGGAGCGCAACTCAAGCATGCAGTGTTAGATTTGGGACATAAGGTTGATTTACAAGTTCTTGAGGACCACGGGCCTCTAGTTGCTGCTACTGGGGTTAACCTATTAAAGAAAGTGTCTAAATAGATGTGACAGTAGAAATAAATTCCTCGAGTAATCTTCTAGATACGTGATTAAAAAGTAAGTCATCTGAGCCTTTTTATATACACTATGAGTTCAGGACCAGAAGAAATCATTCTCTTTGGAAAATTTCCCAATTTCGGTTATCCCAATTTTGATTATCTCAATTTCTGAACTCAGATCAAAGTAACTTATTCCACAATTAGAGACAGAAAGCTCAAAGTGTAAATAGTTTAAGAGATAATACAGGGTATGTGGGGTTTTGTTAGAATATAGCTGATGAAGTTCCTGAGCGTTTTTTTAAAATTTTATTTTAAAAAAAACAAAACAGTAAAAGGGTACAAATAATACAGAATAAAAAAAATAAACAGTAAGAAATCAGTAGTTAATAGATTACATATTGTCATCTTAGAAATAGTTGTTCAAGTTACAGGATTAAAGCATACAAAGTGCACATTCAAACAGTGAGACTGTAAACAGTTGTGTTCAATGATCCAACAAAAACTTAGTAATATGGTCATCCATCTTACACACCTAAACACACTTGCAGTTGTATCCTTTGGAGCACTTTCTTTTCCTCTCTTTTTTACAATAACATTTACACATTTTGGGTTTTATTACTCCTATAGTTCTTCTTATTTTTTTGGAAGAGAATAAAACCAAATATGACAAAACAAAGCAGTCAGTCAAAACAAAGAATGGACATAGTACATGATGTAAAAATAGAACACAAGGTGATCAACAATGGTTACCATAATGCCACTTGCTACCTTAAAAAGAATTGCCTATATCATTAGGTATAATAAAATTGAACAAAACCGTACAGAATAAGACCAATAAAACCTAAACATTGGAGACATTACAGAGTTCCTGAGGGTTTTAAGGGAGAAAAGTTTTCAATGTCGAGAAAATTTGATAAAATAAAGACTTCATGATTTTGCCTGACACTGTCCTGTTTATTGTCACATATAAATAAAAAGAGTTGAGAAAGAAGTGCTCATATCTTGAAGGACGATCTAGGCCAGTGAAGGTAAACCTTTTAGAGATTTCAGTGACACAAACAGCTGGCTGTAGCACCTGTGCCACAGGTTTGCCACCACTGCTCTAGGCTGATAGTTGAGTAAGAGTAGGTATCTAAAGTTCCTTCTCTCCCCCCTTTCAATCCTTGATCTCTTCCGAAAGGTGTTCTTCAGTTGGAAGGCTGATGGCATGACAGCTGACAGCATGATGGAGACTTGTCACCTCTCTGCTAGCACCATATTTCTAACAGCCAGCCCTGGAGAATGCTAGTTATCTGTACAATTCTCCATTTGGTGTTGTGGTGTCCTGGGGGGTGGGCGTTTATCACATTTAACACCAGAAAGAATTGAAGGCCAGAAAGGATTTATAGTGTGTGTGTGTGTGTGTGTGTGTGTGATTACCAGAGTAACACTATATATATTTGTTGCAGAATACTTAACAAAAACTTTAAAAACCAAAACAACACAGACTTAATATTTCTAATATTACAACATTGTGGTAGGTTTCCTTACAGTGTTTTATGCATTTTATAACTGAGCTTTTAGATATATAGCCAACTTTACAACTTTCTGTTTTTGCTCAATGTTATTATATACATACTTGCCCATTTAATTAGATTTCTATGTTTACCTAGTCATTTATAGCATAGTTACACCATGATTTATTCAAGGTAATTTCTGATTATTTATAATTACAAATTACAGTGTGGCAAATAGCACTGTGCATAAACCTTTGCTCTTATGTTGGATGTCTCATTAAAAGAACAAATGGTGTAACCCACCATACATATTTTTTAAAAAATTCTTTGTATATAGTTACTCCAATTTCCAGAAAGATTGTTATTGGAAAATGAAGAGCTATCAGAAATACTGGCTATGGTAGAAAATATGACAGAAGTTATATATGTATGTAACATAGGACATACTTATTGTTGTGGGTTATGATTAAGAAAAAATAATTTGAAGCCTTTGGTATAGTGGAAAGAGTCTGAACTCTGGTATTAGACAGACCTGGGTTTGTATCTAGGCTGTCTGTGTGACTTTTGCCAGTTACTGTACCTACTTTTCCGGCTCAATTCACTCATTGAGAAGAGAATAATAATATCTTGCATTCGTGTGTGGAGAAAATATTGCTTAAAGCAGAATGCTTACTGCATAGGCAGTGATTAATATATAATCACTTCTGATCCTTTCTCCAAATAATGCCATCCATGTAAAGCAACTTCATTAACGAGAGGGAAGACAATCTGTTTTATTGATGACTAGATCTGTTACACGGTATTTAAAAACACCCCCTGGAGTATTTTTCTATATTTTGGGTTAGTCAGGCTACATGAACAGAGTTTTTTTTTTTCTGTTCTCACACTGTTCCTACCTATGTTGTGGATTTGAGAACTTCACTTTGGCCATCAGCAGTCTATTTCGTCGTCAGCCTGCATTTCCGGGCCTCTTCCACTTCCTGGACGGCGAGGAGCACATGGCAGGGGGCCTGAGGAAAATCTGTCGAGCCGGGTCTGCAGCACATCTTCTGCAAAGTGTCGCTCGTGGTGCACAGGGAGGCAGAGGTAATGCTGATGCCAGCAGCGTTTCTCACTCAATCTACTCCATGCTAAACAGGCCAGGCAGGCATTGAGTCATGTCTCCGGGTAGCACAAGTGGAAAGTGTGAACAGAGAAACCACTTTACGTGAGGGCCGCGGAAAATGAGATCCCTTCCCGCCCCACTGGCGCGGCCCTCGGGGAGGGGGCACTTATCGGCCCGGCGGCCGGCCCAGGCGTGCGGTGCCGGCGCTCAGAGGCTTGGCGGGCACGCACGCGCCGCCGAGAGCCCTTCTTTCCAGATGGAGCTTCGCGGCGTCGCAGCCGCGCGACACGATCGATACTAGATGGCGGCCGCGTCCCGCCGTCAAGTGCAGGCGCAGGGCGGGGACGCAGCCACTCCGCTGCGGCCTCTTTTCAGCCCCGCGCCGGCCACGGACGTTAACCCGTTCCCGGCTGACGAGCGCTGCCGTGTCCGCCGCCGCCCGCTTGCCAACAGACAGAGCCCGGGCCTAAGGGTTTCAGACTGGCAAGGGGCCAGGCTAGGTTTGAACCTAGGTTCCCCGTGTGATTAAGAGGCAGGGAGTCGAATCTGCACAGTTATGCTCGGGGCGTGTCGTGAAGTCGCCGCTGCGCCCGGCTCCCCACAGACGGCCGCGGAGACCTTACCTTCCCGCGGCGTCGCGCGGCCGACGTGGGGCGGGGTGGACAGGGACACCGCGCGGGTTCCCCGAGTGAGCCCGCCGACTGAAGCCCCGCCCCCAGCACCCGCTCCCACTCCTGATTGGCCGATGCGGTCCGCAGGCGGTCGGGCCGGCGTCTCAGCTATAAAGTGAGCCCCGGCATGCCCGCCGCGGCGAAGCCCGTGCAGCTTCGGGGCTTGTCCGCTCCTAGCCCTCGCCCGATCCCAGCCCTCGCACCCCCCCCCCCCCCCCCCAGTTCAAGGCACCCGAGCGCTCTTGACTCCACAATGCCGAGGGGCTTCCTGGTGAAGCGAACTAAACGGACGGGCGGCTCTTACCGAGTGCGCCACGCCGAGCGGGTCCTACCTCCACTGGGGCCCCAGGTGGCGCCTCCCGCTCCCGCCGAGGTTCCCAGCGCCTCCCTGCCGGGTGCAGAGCGCGCGAATCCCCACGCCGAGGGGCGGACGGCGGAGACAGCTCAGGAACTGTCTGGATTGCCCTGTCGGGCTGCGGGGGTGAGCCCGGGGGCGGGCGGGCGGGAAGGCCTGGAGTGGAGGGCCGAGAACTCGGAGGGCCCGGGGCCCAGCCGCAGCCCCACGAAGCCTGCGGGGGCTGAGCTCCGCCGCGCGTTCCTGGAGCGCTGCCTCAGCTCGCCGGCGTCCGCGGAGTCCTTTCCCGGGGGCACCGCCGCCCTGGCCACCTTCTGCTCGGGGGCGCCGGCCGCGGCGCCTTCCCCAGCGGAGTCATTCCTGCTGCCGCTCCGGGCGCCATTCCCGGAGCCCGCGCTCCAGCCGGAGCCCGCACTCCTCCCGGCCGCCTTGCACGGCTTAAAGCGGGCGGCGGCCGGCGAGCGCCGCGTCAAGCTGCCTGCGGGCTGCCCGCCTGGACCAGCGGCTGCGGGCATCAAGAAGCCAAAGGCCATGAGGAAGCTGAGCTTTGCCGACGAGGTGACCACGTCCCCGGTCCTGGGCCTGAAGATCAAGGAGGAGGAGCCGGGGGCGCCGTCCCGGGCCCTGGCGGGCAGCCGCACGCCGCTGGGGGAGTTCATCTGCCAGCTGTGCAAGGAGCAGTACGCGGACCCCTTTGCGCTCGCCCAGCACCGCTGCTCCCGCATCGTGCGCGTCGAGTACCGCTGCCCCGAGTGCGACAAGGTCTTCAGCTGCCCAGCGAACCTCGCCTCCCATCGCCGCTGGCACAAGCCACGTCCGCAAGCTGCAAGTACAGTCTCCTCCGCCGACGGGAAGCCGCCCCCGTCGTCTTCGTCCTCCCCAGATTCTGGCTCCATGGCGCCTTTCCTGGCCGAAGGAAAGGAGAATAGCCGGGCCGAGCGGACTGAGGATCAGCACTTGCAGGCGAAGGACAGCTCCAGGGAGGATCAGCACCAGGACAGCGACCCACGCCTAGGCCTCTCGGGGCTACCAGCCTTAGAGCAGCTATCCGTGCCTCCGGCTCCTTTCACCGAGGGAGTGTTGGGGCGTCGGGTGCCTGGGGCAGGTAGTGCCAGTGGTGGCGGGGGATCCGAAATCTTCGTGTGCCCGTATTGCCACAAAAAGTTCCGTCGCCAAGCCTACCTGCGCAAACACCTGGGCACTCATGAGGCAGGTTCGGCTCGCGCACTGGGCCCCGGCTTTGGCTCTGACCGCAGGGCCCCACTCGCCTTCGCCTGCCCCTTGTGTGGGGCGCACTTCCCGTCCGCAGATATCAGAGAGAAGCACCGGCTGTGGCACGCTGTCCGCGAGGAGCTGCTTCTGCCTGCTCTGTCTGGGGCTCCTCCCGAAGCCCCGGGCCCTGGAGGGGCATCTGACGGAAGTGCGCAGCAAATTTTCTCCTGCAAGCACTGCCCGTCCACTTTTTTTAGTTCCCCGGGACTGACCCGGCACATCAATAAGTGCCACCCCTCAGAAAACCGCCAAGTATTGTTGCTGCAGATGCCATTGCGGCCTGGCTGCTGAGGTGCAAGAAACCAGGACGCTGTCAAGGCTGGCCTCGGAGAAAACGAATCATGGGAACTTCTATGGGGCTTTGTTCAACTTGCAAGTTTTACTTTTTCTTTGCCATGTTTTCCCCTCCTAAAACTCTCCTAATAGTCAGTGTCCCACCAGGGGAGACCAGGTACGTATATGCCATAACCATTCATGGTCGAAGACTCTCAGCTGTAAAACCCCTTTCACTTTCCCCACTAAAATAGGATTTCCCCCCTCAAAACTCTGGAGACCCTAACGAATCCTATATGATTTGTAATTCCTATGGAAAGTCACAGTGAATGCGTGCATGTCTCAGTGTCTACAAAGGTTCTGGCTACCAAAAGTGGTAGTCACATTTTGTTGTTTTCTCTTGCCATCACAGGCGCCTATGTAGTTTCTGTCTCAATAGGGTCAGATATCTTGCATTGTATATTCTGTGAATTTAAAGTTATGTGGTTGGTGCCAAACTTACAGGGGGGAAAAGACTCAAGTCCTGTGTCCATGGGCAGGGAATTTAAAAAGATGTTTGCTATTCTTGAGGGTATGAGAATTTTCCCTCAAACATTTTAATGAAATGTTATAGTCGATTCTTACATTAGTTTTTGGACAGGGAGGGTGTTATTTTACTGGAAGGAGCCACCCTCCAAAGTCTTACCTTTGGCTATTTTGTGTGCAGTATTCAGGAAGAGCTACTTTAAATCTGTTTACATAGCTTTTTAGAAATACTAATTTTTTTCCTTAAATCTGTTTTAAAGGTTTCACCCCGTATTATTTAATGTTTGTTGTAAATCTCATACTGTGTATTATGTATGAAATTATGTTCAGCTTTTCAAGATGTTAATACCTGTAATACATGGAATTGAATGGCAATTCCCTCAATATTCAGTATTTTCTTTCTAGCAGAAACTTTTGAATTTCTTTTTGTAAACTGTATTCAGTGTACTCTGTACCCATTCTCTTCATACTGAGTTTGGGGCACTGGCCGAACATTGCTTGACAGATAGCTTGGATCTGTAAGACGCGTACCACCAAATAAATGTACTATAGACTGCTTTTTGTTCTGTATTTGTCTTAAGAGTTGGCTGAACATGGTGTATTTTCAAAGCCACGTTTCTTATCTCCCCAATGCCAGTGATTCTAATGCCTCTTAGAATCTTAGGATCACTTTAGCATACAAAGGCAGGAGATATATTTTGCAAATAAATGTAAGTGCAGATATGCAATAAGAAGTTTTCCTTTGAAGTATAGTAGCACAGACTTAAGTTCCAAAAAGCAGTATATGTTAACTTTAGAAAGATAATTCTCCCACAAAGAGAAATGTTAAATATTTTCTGTAAAAAGTTACTGAATAGTGTTATTTGAAAATGACAAAAATCTTAATGGTACTAATTTCAGTATTTCACGTTGGTATTTTCAGCCCATTTTGTGACCTATTAGTTGTCCACTAAGATGCTTATTTAAAATAAAGTGAATATACCTTAGAAATATGTAAGCAGTTAAATTTGAATTTCCTTCTTTGTATTTCTGAGTGGTGGGAAATTGTCTATAATGTTTAATCTTGTTTCCAGGGACTTCTTTACCCATTTATTAACTGGAACTTTAGTTTTAATTATAATGGCAAAAAAGTACACAGGAACTCTGAAAAACCGTTTTAGAAAAATTGGCGAGTTTTATTTCTGAAAGTATATTATAAAACAATGTGGAATGTAAAATATCAGGCAAACATATAGCTAAGATAAACTGATGTTTTAATCCTGCCCTGGGTGAAGTTTTTGGCCAGCACTGGTGAAGGTATAAAATTTCTTATGTTTTCAAAAGCTGTGGTAGTATCTTGAAAAGTACGTTGGAGGGTATCCTGAAAAGGGAATTTAAATTTGTTTTCATAATTATCTAAGGTAACCTAATTTTATCCTTTATATGTCACCAATAGTCATATACCTCTGATTATTCATATAGCTCTGATTATTAAGTGTGAAAATTATAAAATACAGAAGAAAATAATGGACAGGAAGTGATAGTAAGAATATTTTTATTGTTTTATTAAATACCATGTCATCTTTTTTTTTATCCTTCCCACCTTTATAAATTTGTAGACAGTACATGAAGGATGATACATAATTTTTATTCTATGGTTTGCCAGTATGATGTATTTACACATGCAGTTGGTACAGATGTCATGCTACATTTCCTTAGGAGATGCTCAATTTTTAAAAATGTGAGCAGCTTATGTACTAGAGGAAAATGCTCCTGGAGGGTGGGATGTATACCAACTTGCACATGCAAGTTTAGTATATTAGATTTAACTTAGATTCCTGGGTCATGTTTCCTTTTCTTTTAAAATAATGTACATAGTTTGAGCAACATATTTATATCAGGAAAGTTTTTTCCTCCTCACCACCTTATTTTTGGTATTTAAGAAAGAATAGAGATATACTAGGTTCTATCAACCAATGTTAATGGGCCACAATCTCAGAACAGAAATATTTAACGGTGGTACCACTTAAAGCAAAACAACAGAAAATTATCTGGAAGCTAAACAGAAACCAAAGTTCAGCAGTGATTTTGCTAATTATCTGATATACATGGCATCACCTACACATTCAAGAAATGCCTTGAGAATTGCCTTGAGAAGAAAAAAAAATTAAAATTATTTCAGTTGGAATTTGAGATATTAAATGACCATCTAATTTTGAATGTTTTATTTTTGTGACATAAATAATCTGTACATATCCTGTTTATTAACAGATCTGTAATTTTAACTTTACAAATGCTTAAGTTTAATTTTACATTTGTAAAAAAATTATATATTTATTGAACCATAAAGCTGCAATGGGACACAATAAATAAAACGAGACTATCTGTCCAATTATATTTTGGCTCAATGTTAATCATGAAATTAAAGGTAAAATTACTTACATGTAAATATCTAGAAAGGTAAGATAGAATAAAACTCAGCCCCCTCAAAAAATGGCAGTTTGGAATGTAGGGGAAAAATGAACTGAATAAATAGACCAAATCTAAAATATTAAGTTACAAATTATTTCAGTCCAGTGTTTTCTCAAATAAATGTACAGGAAAGAACATGCACAGTATGGCAGATCTGAAGGCCTGAAAGGGTTAACATTATGTTCGTGCTAAGGTGGCTACTGCAAATCACACCGTTGAGCTGCTTGTCTCCCTAGGATTTATTGGCTGAACCAGAGGAACGACGCAGCTTCATGGACATGCGGCTTTTGCTAGTTCGAGGAGACATTGGAGAGGCCAGGTCAGCCCCATCTACCTGCGTTGCTGTGGGAGCTTCACTGGGTAGAATCTCTGGGTAGAAGCCTGTAGAAACAGCAAGAACATTACCACAGTCATCCAGCCTCTCATTCCATAAGAAAATACGCTGTCTATTACTAATCTGGAGTGAGGATCCCAAGCCTTATCAGTGTCTTTCGAGAGAAAAAGCCCCATATGTTCTAGGGTACAGTAGCCTGCTAATGTATTAAAGCCCAGTGATCTGGTGGCTCATGTTATCATGTTAGCAACAAAGCACCAATCATCATCTCCAGAGCCAGAACCCTGGAAAAAGCAATGGTAAACGAAGACTTTGGGCAAGAATAGGGATCCAAAGCACTTCTGGCATGCAGGAAAAAACACAAGAAGCTAGTGAGAAAGACCAGTTTCTGTCTCTAGGGTTCAAGGTATAATTAAAAAAGGGCCTTCGTTCTTCAAACTGGAAGAGAACAGAACAGAACAGAACCTAACAGTTCTAGACAGGTTCCAAAGAACTACTCAATACTTACGAGACCATCATATACGCTAGGTATTTAAATTGGATTTTAAAAGGAGGGCAGATAAATTCTTAAAGGAGGGAAGAAGATCATAATTCTCGTTACAAAAATCAGTCAAAAAAGATAAAGTCATGTTAAAAAAGATAAGTAATGCTTGCTTTTACCTTCATTAAGTTCTGCAGTAACACTGTAGGTACCAAGTAAAACTAGTAAATGAAGAATTTTAAAGTAAGCAGTCAGGCATGGTGGTGCACACCTGTAATGCCAGTACTCAAGAGGCCGAGGCAGGAGAATTACAGTTCAAAGCAAGCCCGGACTACCATAGTGCAAGATCAGCCTGAACTACATAGTGAGACCATGTCTCAAAAAACAAAACTAAAACAAAAATCAAAGCAAGCAAAACAAATTCAAATAGGAAAAGCTTTTATGTCACAAAGTATTTTTTAACTCCGTCTTTATGAATTATGACTACAATAAACAATACAGGACCGTGCATATAGTAGGATCTATGAGTAAATGAACAAGACATTAAGAAAAATCCTTCAGAAAAAAAACCTCTACAAATAAAACAAAATTTAAATTGTTTCTATATATTTCAAGGTATGTTAATCCATATTTTTTTCTGGGTTTAAGTACATGAAAAAATGGAGGGAGATTTTTGGGAAACAACTGACAAAAAATGCTCAGTGAAGTGCAGAACTCATGGGATATCTAAATTAAAATGTATCTAAGTCTTCTGTATGTGGAAAGCCAGGTTTTCCAGTACCACTCATTAAAGAGGCTTTCTTCCAGTGTTCACATATATCTGTACAGAATATTCAGTGTTTTTAAGGCCAAAGGTTACAATTAAAAACAAATATATGTCTCGCCATGTTTTGTCATGTATAATCCATGTCAACTATCTTCCTCACAGTAACTTCTCTAACATTTTCTTTTCTAATCGCAATGACACTGGCCTTCTAAATAAAAGGAGAAAATATAGTTTTAGTTCAGTTTTACTCTTCTTAAAGATCTGAATTGGTGAATACTGAAAAATTTACAGAATATAAATCAATGGCCTATTTAGGGAAGCCCTGCAGATGGGTAGTAAAAGGAAGGTGAAGAGCAGTAGCCCACGCTTTTTTGCTAACGTGTAATATTCCGGCCATTGGGAGAGGCCTTCCCATGGCTCTTTACCTTGAGACGACCAATGGTTTCTAGCGGAGGTTTTGGGAGGAAGAGAACTATCACTGCATTTCTTTCTTTGATGTAAATGAAGAAATGGAGTAGCGAGCAGAAGTGAGAAAACAAAAAGAGAAGATAGACAACAGATATGAGAGTCGTAGTGCAGAATTCTACAGGTGTTAACTGAGGAACAGAGAAGAGAGTGACCAGGTTTTTATTGTGAAATATAATTGGGCATGCAATGAGTTAGGGCGATGAAGTTTCACAACTGTCAGTACTTTTTCCATTCAAATATTATACTTACCAACTAATAAAACAAGTTCAAATAGGAAAAAAGAAAACAAGAAAAAAGTCTGTGAGAGATCCTATAAACATGTACTTTTTAAAGCATTCATTGTATTGGTGGCACTCAGAAAATATCTAGAGATATCCTGTCAACTATGACGCAAAAGTCACATTAAATGTACATTAAATGTAATTTAAACTAAATAAAAATTCAGTTCCCTGGTACCAAATATTAGTTACATGTCAAGTGTTCCAAAGCCACCTGTGATTAGTTGTCACCATATTGGACAAAGCAGATAAATAACATTTCCACCATCGTAGAAAAATTTACTAAACGAACTGCTTTAGAACATACCAAACTCACGAAAATATTTTCCTCACTCAATTCTTCACAGAAACAAACCTCTCTGAAAGTTTACTTCACAGCTATTTCTATTTCTATTCTAATTTTTTTTAACTATACCTATTCCTAAAATCTTTTTCTCACTACTTTTAACAGTAACAGTAAATATAGTTCCTCTTCAGATGCCTTTATCACTTAAAAAACAGAACAGCAACTCCTCCACCTCTCCCTTATTGCCTGAATGAAATCCCGCCTTCAGTGAACTAAGAGTTAAAGCAGACTTTTCATAGCATATAGTGCAGTTACCAGTACTTATTCATGTTTTAGCAAATGCTGTGTGATACTCAATATATCCAAATTCTATAAATATGTAGATAGACGTCAACCAACTACTGATTTTTACTACCAACCAATGCTGATTCATTTAATTACTTTTAAATTACTTCTACTATTAACATATCCTCAAGAAAAATTTTTAAAAATA